TAAAAAGCAGTGATGTCTTGTAAACATATCCATTAGGGACTTAATTAGGGAGGACTAAAACATCCCTCATAACATGCAAAGCTTATCCCCACCATCTAACACATTAGCCAGTGCATTAATTCTCTCTTAAGTCAAGGAAGCCTTTCTTCGTGAATTATGAATGAGCTATTTCAAAGAGTTTTCTTTCTCTTTTTGACTGACAAATCTCAAAAGTTAAATTTAATAAATCTCTCCTGGTGAGATGGTCATGACTGACATGAGGAAAAATGTCAAGGCTAGCCATATCTCTGAGGCACAGAGGAAGCATTACCGTGATTAGGATGGAAAGTTCACAGGTCATGAAGGGATTGTGGAATAATACTTTATATCAAAATGCCTCTGGTTTATTAAACTTCACAGTTCACTTACTTAATAGCTGTTTAGCATAAAACATTTATTTGCAAGTCTTCGCTTTGCAAATTCATCTAGATCCTCCACCTGGTCTGCACAAACTGGTGAGGTTTTTTGTACTGACAGATATATTTAATACATAAATCATTGCAGACAGTAATTTTCTTGCTGTCATAAACAAAAACAGATTTCATAACCCATTTGGAAAAGTGAGGCCAAAAAAGATTGGCTGCATAAAACCATATGGGGTAAAGCAGACCAAATTAAAAAAAAATCTTTATAGTTAAAATTTGCCCTTGGCATTCATGGATTCAACCATCCATGGCTTGGAATCTAAAAAGCAAACCTTAATTTTGTAATTTTATATAAGGGAGACCATTTTACTACACCATTGTATATAATGGGACTTGAGCATCCATGGATTTTGGTTTCCATTGTGGGGGTTGTGGATCCAAACGCCAGCAGATACAAAGGGCCCAATGTATTTCCTTATGGCACTTTAAGGAAACCAGAGAGATTGATTTAATCCATTTACCAGCCTAGCAATCCCATAATTCAAGAACATCTAAAACAAAAACAGCAAAACAATAATTAAAATAACAAATCTCATATTTCGTGTTGCATATTTTATATCACATGCACGAGATCTTGGATCCCAATACATTCTGCTATGACTGTGGCCTTCTAGATGGTGCAGGATGGCATTTTTAGCAGGCTTAGCCAGCCTACCGCTGGTGAGGAATGCTGGGAGTTAAACAACAGCAGAAAGACTACTTGATTTTTATGTATTATAGTAGCAAAATGATATCCAGAGAATGGCTATTTGCATTCTCTCTCTCTCTCTCAGTATTGGCAATCCAATAAAATCATATATTAATAAAAAATTACTGATTGTTGATCATTAGTTAAACATAATAATAAATTATTAAATAATAAATTATATACAGTACTATGTAAAATTCTAGCATATTTTTTATCATCAAAATATTTATTTATTTATTTGGAGAATTTATATCCCACTCTTCAGCTACAAAGGCTCTCAGAGCAGCTTACAAATGGTTAATTAGACGATGCCCTGCCCTCAGGCTTACAATCTAAAAAGACATGACACAAAAGGAGAAGAGAATGGTAGTGGGGAAAAGGAACAGGTCCAGCAGTTCTTATCTCCCTCTGAGGCCTGGACCATGGTAGATGGACTAAAAGGAGGGCTCTCCTTCTTAATCTAGGCTAGGCCCAATGGAGCTGGCCTGCCTCTCTCCCTCTGAGGCCGAAAAGGAAATGCAGGTAACAGACTCTTGTCTATGTCTATCAAAAGGACAAACCTTTGCCCTCTATACCTAGTGCAAGAATAAAGTGC